TTTTTTTTTTGCTGCGAATGACGAGTATACTCGTTACAAAGAAACGGCAATCTTTTTGCGGAGAATAAAACATACTTGTAAATTTCAGACGCTGTTTCTTTTTACATCACTTCTACATATATTCTTGCTATTAATATTGATTGTTATTAATTAGCTAATATTAATTAAATTGAACGATAAAGTTATTGATTAAAAAAAAAGACCGGTATTTTTTCCTTGTAGTTTAATTCAATTTTACTCTGTGTTTCACTGTGAGTATAATCGTCATCGAGTCGTTCGAGCGACGCAACGTAGACACACACATTTAAAAAAGGCACCACATCATCGAGAGGGTAAGACAGTATCGTAAGAAAACGTTGCTGCGAGCGACGAAATGAATTATCCAATCAGTCATCGGATAAAGCGAAACACCGCGTGAGACGAGGCTATTGTTTCTGTCAAATCGATCCCGTGCTAAACCAAAACTGTGCTAATTATTCCCTTTTGCCGGCCCCTTCCAGCCCAACACCTCTAGCCTTATTGGATTAACAGGCACAAGTTCAGCTCCATCGCACGCGCAACGACGCACACGTGGGAAAATTATGTTTCCAGCGCACCGTTTCGAGTTAACTTAATACGTTCGAAATCCCGGAGCGGGGAGGCACTGATCGATATTCCTGATCGTGTGAAAACTCAGCCGCGACTCAGGCGTTCGGCAATTACCGATTATTCAGATCACGTTTCATCGATCGACGCTCGAAGAAGATTGTTAATCCGAGAGACAGAACGCTCGGACAAACGAATAATTGCCGATCAATGGAATCTGTTTTCTACACCGACTCCACCGTCGACTGTTAAAATGCCTATTTTCTTTTTTTTTCGTCCGTTAATCCGCGAAATTAACAGCGGATTCGTTTCGAATTGGTTTCGCGAGCGCACAGAGTGCAGTACAGGCGCAGAGGATGAACGTGAAGGCGAGCGAGAGGGGAACGGCGGTGAAATGGCGTTGAAAGAGGAAGCGCGATACGGGCCGCGCCTTCTAATGTAAATTACGCGAAATCGTTGCACGAGTGACGCCACACGCGAGCACAAAGGGACGCTTTAGCCGCTATTTTTCCTGCTTTTTTCCCCCTCGGCTGACACGAAATATATTACGTAAATTCCCTTCTTCCGTGACCATTTCCAACGCAGGCAGAGCAGCGGTCGGCCATGTGTGTGGTGTCGTGCGTGACGCGGTAGAAAATGCATCGCGCGAAAATGTTTTTGCCCCGCGAGTTCGCACCTCGACGTATAAACGACTGCATTTGCTTCGATACAGTATTCATGCTCGTTCTACCAATCCCCTTCCTCTCTCTCGTTCTCAACTCCTCTCTCGTCGGCGCCTCTCTCGCCCCTTCGTTCCCGGTTGCTATTCCCATCGCCCAGTTCTCGCGCAGCAGTGTCAATATTTCGTCGTTCGTCGTATCACGCACGTATTACCTACCCTTCAGCCTCTCTCACTTCCTTTCTCTCTCTCTCTCTCTCTTTCTCTGTGTATTACATTATTCTCGAGGAAATTGCTCGGAATTCCAGTCGTTCGTTGAAACGCGCGGCTGTTATAGCCGAAGCGAGAGTGGAAATGTGCACGTGAGAGAGAGAAATGCTTCGGCTGAACCTTAGGGGTCGGCGAAGAAGGGGGAACGCGGAGGCCACCGTAAAAATGTCCGGGCGGTCTGCGATCTCGCTGGGAAACCCCGACGTATTTGCATACGTCGCGCGCAGACTTGCAGAAGAAATTTTATTATCCAGCAAATTAGCCGTTGAAGGCGTTAAACGAGCTCGTTTTCGCGTGAAACCGTGCCATTGCTAGTCGTTAACCGAGTTTCCTGGATAGGAGAACGGCTCGACTGTCCAGTAAAACAATAAAAAAAAAAAAAAAAAAGAAAAAAAATCCAACACCTAGTATAACAGTGGATATGCTTGAAAGACGAAGGTGACGGGGAAAAGCCAGGGCTGAGTTATCGCGTGGCTCGACCACTGGCAATTCGGCGGTTCGGCGGCCGATAAAACGCAATCGCGCGATTAGAACAAAACCGGTTCACAATCCAGTCGGCCACTTGTTAGTCCGTTGGGCAAATCGATTCGTTGCTCTCGTCGTTGCAAATTCGTGGAAATAATTTATCGGCCAGGTAGCACGAACGACGCTTGCAAACTGATAGAAAATCGATAACCGAATGTCGAAAGTTTCGAGCCGACGGATACCGCAGCTATTCGAGACCTCTTGCAGAACTTTGATCCCGTAGTCGTAGCCGAGCCGAGAGCTCTTTAATCACTCGCCGACAGCTTTAAACGAAACATCCGAATATCGTTCCTCTTCGTTTCGCTTTCTCCTTTTTTCCTTTTTCTTCGAATCATCGAAACGATAACGAGAAAAGAGCATCGATGTGTTTGGCGATCGATGATCAGCAAGAAGTGACGAGCGGAATCGCGGCGAGATTTCCTTTCCATCGAGTCGGAGTGGAACACTTCGTTCCCAGCCGCGTGACTGGAATTTCACGCTAATAAGAGTAATGGATCGAGGCAAAAGGTTCACGGTGTAAAACAGCAGAGGCGGGAGGCGGAAGGCGGGGGCATATACACTGACTGGCGCCACGGGGAAATGACAGACTGTCTATTTGGCTGATGGGGCAGGATTTAATCAGCCGGTTCGACCACGCGAATATTTTTGCACGTGCACGCGGAATAATATGCTCGAATAAGCCAGACCGTGGCGCGGAACGCCAGAATAGGATGATGCCGGTGCCTATGGTTCTCTCGCTGGGTGAACTATGAAGCGGGCCGGCTCGCTCTCACCAGCCGAAAAAGGACGCCATAGAGACAGAAGAGACGCAGCGCCAGCAGCAGCTGGAGGGTCAGAGAGGCAGAACCGATTTCGCGGATTTAATCTCGCTGCAAGACTTCGCGGAACCGGCTCGTATTCCCCACCGGCTCGTGGCCGTGGTACAACGTGTAACACGCATGAATGGAGATGGCAGATTTCCGGTCGGGTCAAACGAAACACTTTTTAATACCCATTAACCAGTTGAAATGCCATTTAGCCGGTGTAATAATTTTAAAAGCACCCGGTTTTCAGAAGGGATAGTCCGTTCCATCTGCACCTCCGTCTATCTACCTACCCCTACACTCCTATCCTGTGTATGGGGCTACGCCGTGTTTTCTCCCCTCCCCCCCCCCGCCTCTCTGATTCTCTTTTCCTCCTCAGCCAGGATGCAAAATTGAGAATACAATGGCACGCGAACGAACGCACAAGCAGCGGCGAGCTTTTAGCCGCTCGAGCATTTAATCCTGGCGAAAATACCAGGTGAACGCGTATTGTTCCGATATGAGAGGAGTACCGATAGTCTCTCTGTCTCTCTCTCTCTCTTTTTGTGCTCGTGTTAACGTACTATTGGGACCATGTCGAGAAACCGGTAAATTGTCAGCCGGCGTAGTAAATGTTTTTTTCTTTTTGTTGTTGTTGTTGCTGTTGCTGTTGTCGTCGTTGTTGATGCGTTTTACCCTCTTCCCTTGTATTTCAGCGAATATTACATTAAAGGCTGTCGGCGATAAGCCAGCGCGCCATGGCAGGCGAGACAATGGCCGTCGTCACTGCCTCCCGTGATCGCGTTGTAATCGCTCCGCCTAGCGTGATGCCAAACATGAACATCCTGACTGACTGATTCGCGATTTCATCTGCTCGTCCGACAATGCGCGGCAAACGCACACCCAGGGCGTAGTGTGCGTGACTTAACCAACGTTCGACAACGTCCGAACGTCGCTAATTAAACTAATCCCGTGCCACCAGCTATTGGAAATCAGATCTCGACGAGATGTTTAGAGATGTGAGAACGCGGTCCAGGGACTGTGAAATATCGAGATTTGATTGCACGTCGTCGTCGTTTTCAACTATTTTGCCACTCTTCTAGATCAACTGCAAGAACACGTATTCAACAATCGTATCGCCTGCCCTCGAAACGAAACGAAACGGAACGCGTGAGACTCGCGTGACCTATACACCGTTACCGAAACGCATTTGCATAGTTCGATTTATCCGACCCGGGAACATACGTTCCTCCAGAGTATCATCCACCAGGGAACACCAATCAGCACCAAGGGAACCAAGGAAAAGTTGGCGCGCTCCGGTGCGTGCAGCTTTTTCCAAGCACGCAACGCGCGATATAAATCACCGCGCGGATTTTCTTGTCGTTCGCCCTTATCGGGGTTATGAATCTCGCGCGCACCGGATCACGATGGAAACAGGGACGCTTTAAATCGCGCCAACTTTCCTCCGTATAAATCCTTTGCGCCCGGCCGCGACAGCTTCCGTTCAGTCGGCGGCGCTTTCAACGGAACCTACGCGCGAAACGTCCGCTATTCAGATTAACAGTCGGCGAGCTACCAGCCGATTGTTCGAGCCGCGCTCCGAAGGAACAGCGATGAACGAGAAAGAAAAAAAAAAAAGGAAAGAGAAAATTCATTTTTCCCCTCCGTGATTTCAAGAATTACAAAGTCTCGATCCTCGTTCG